AAACACCTGGCTTGAGGGTATGAAAACCCTAACCAGGAGACTGGGTCACATAGGTAGTGTTAGGCTACTTGGCCGGGGACCTCGGGATGATCGTAACAGATGAGTGATATGGCTGGGTGTCGTAAACAGTGGCGTTCGTGCATCTCCTCAATTTCTGTGCAACCTTGGATCACTGAACTTTTCCATTTTCAGGTTGATTCCACTTTACACTTTCCTTTCTTCTCCTATTCTTCATCCAAATGAGCAACCAAAAGACAGCAACCAAAACCGGCGCACGAATATGCGTGCCAAACTAATCGCAGTACGATAATCTTTAATAGGAGAAACACGTCGAGAACATGATACCGCTAGGTTCCTCAGGCCAAACCAGATGAATGTTCTCAGATAGTTCACCAACGGAGCATTCAGTTATCCGAAGCGTGACCCGCAAGGCGGCGAGCCCGTGTGGGAAACCGCATTCCATTGGGGGCCGGTGTCCAGTTTACCAGATCGTACGCCCTTTGGAGGAATTCAAACGTTCAGGGTTTCGAATACCCAACCGAGCCGGTAACCACTACCACGACCAGAAAGATGTGTGTTTGATTTTTACGCCTCTTCTTGGTTGGTTTTTAAATCATGGTTTTTATAGCCAACTTCCGTGCGTAAAGTGGCAGTAATTCATCGACCCGGATATTGGCTTTGCATCCCCACTCTTTTGTGGGAAAACACCTCCGTCACGGGAAGGCAGTGAGTATAGTTTCCTTAGCAGACGTTGTTTGAGACGCTTGGTTGTGTGGGAGAATTTCGCGAAGTGCAACTGAAGAGTGACTAGCCACGACCCGATACACCCAGCCCGGACTACACTGAGGATTTCGCAGATGTAAGCGCTTTTAAAAATATTCAAAAGTGAAAGCGAATCAGGCCCGGAAGATCTCAAGGCCAAAAAATTGGGCATAATTATAAAATGGATGACAAGTGGCTGCGATCCATAACCAAGCCAGGGAAATCCAAATAGCCATTAAACGGTGCATACAACGCAGCAAATGTTTGAACAATTTGGTTGGTTATTTGGGTTAAATTAGGTTGCCTGAAGCGAAACCACGAGGTAAACAAGTGAGATGAATTGTAGAAACTAAGTGACTCAGAACGAGAGTTAGAGGTGGAAGATTTTCAAACCTGTTCCAGCAAAGAGATATCACTTAAGCCAAATAAATAGAATCAAATCAAGTCGAATCAAGTCAAAGTAAGCTTTATACACCTGTAGGGTGAATTTTCAGTGATTTTTACGATAATTCAATGGAGCTGAGGTGACTGGCCTCCGAGTGTGAATAGGTTATTTTAAAAAAAAACGACAGAAAGCTGAACGCAGGAAGACGGTAGTGATGGATAAAATGAGTAAATAAACTAACTCATGAGGTGTTCAACCAAACCTGCAATAATAGGAGCCCGATTTACTAGAAAGCGAGCAACAAAAGGGAGGATGCTGTTTCTGTATGCGACGGTGCATGCGGCAAGCAGCCTATAATGAAGAGCGGGTACGCGATTTGACATGAATTTAGTAATTTCTTTGTGCAAGCAGTGATCTTCGTTGTTCAAAATTCTGTCAGCTATTCTTTCGCATTCGTCGATATGTTTGCACACAATAAAATCAACCGGAACTTCTCTGGCCATGCCGCTACATCGAGAAAAGACTTTATTAGGCCACTGATTTTAAAATTACGTTTGAGGGAACAGCAATCTTCCACAGCCTGAAAGGATAAAAAGAGAGTTTACGAACCTTGTTGTAAATGTTCTCTACATGTAAGGTCCAAGAGAGGTTGTGGGATAAAAAGACGCCGAGGTACTCAACACAGTCAGCTTTGGGAATGCTGTGACTGTTAACTACTAGATCCGGTAAATTATTGAAGGTAGTTTGATAGCGGGAGCCAGATTTAAGGCTGAAGGGAATGTCGACACATTTGGAAACATTATGCAACAGTGATGGGGGTTAAAACCAACTATAAACGTCATTCAGGCTACTTTGAAGTTGATGGAAAGAAGTATCAGTATTGGAGGGGCACCCAATCACCACATCGTCGGCATACTTACGGGTAATAAAGTTGGTGGGGACATGCAGGTGGTTTATGTACGGGGGAAAAAAATAAGGGGGACAATATGGCGCCCTGGAAGACATCCGAGTTAACCGAAGAAGAGGACAACGTTTTACCGATGCATGAGATAAATTGTGTCCTAGAAGAGAAGTATTTGACAAGAAGCAAACTGAAGAGGATCAAACGGTTCAACACCACTCTTTCAGAGACCTTCAACAGGGCTGGAGTACATGCAATCGGTCGATATTTTGAAAAACCCTTCTTGGGAATGGGTCTTATCCAGGCAGCCCTCCAGCAATCAGGGATTGTCCCGGAAGACATACACAAATTAAACAACTCAGCAACGGGTGTTGCAAGGTGATCGTCACAGGTTTTCAATAAAACAGGAGTTAATGAGTTCGATCTGAGGGCCTTGTTTGACTTAACTTGCTTCAAAACTTTGAGAACCTCGGTCGGAGAAACAGGGTTGGTGTTTTCTGAAGAATTGAAAACGGACGGTAGAGAATTGGACCCAGAGGAGGCAGAAAATTGTCGGTCTGATTCTTCTAAGTCAGGACAGGAGCTCCCACGTGTGTCCCAGAGTTGCTTCAACGTCGACCACATCTCGCGACTGTTCTGGTTGCTCAGGATGGTTTCAACATACATCCGATTCAAGCGCTGAATCTCTGCCTTGATGATAATCGAGAGTCGTTTAACATCGTAGCGCCTGATTTTCGTATAAGCCTTCTCCTTATTACGTCTAAGGCGTTTTAGAAGACGCAATGAGAATCTGTCGGTACGGATATATATTGTCTCGATCGAGCAACACAAAACAAAACGAAAATTAAGGTAACCGGTGAAATGTTCATATCTGGAAGAATTATTTGAATACGAGAAGACAGAAAAATCGGTTGAAGAGATCATATCTTGTTGTCCAGATAAGTTATCATGGGTAAAATTCCTCCTTCGTATTGTTCGGAGTGCTACCTCTGCCTGATGAAACATTTTACCATAGATTTTTGGGCGCAGTGATCGGACGTGCTAATAGGGGCTCGTTTTCCTATAAAGAAGACATCTGGGATATTTACAAAATTCCATCAAGCTTGGTCTCCAAGCTAGTGGGAAAGTGTACAAGATTAACCAAACCTAAAGTTCCTAAGAAAGAAATATCGAAATGATTAAAATAACCAGCCGCAATACACACGACTGGTCTAAGCCTGTCGCGAATTGTGTTAAGAAAGAGTCGGAAAACATCTGGATGTCATAGGTGGGCGTGTTAGGGACAATCTAAATGTTTGCTAGCAGGATATGCTGAAAATTACCAAGAAAACGGGGTTTACATTGAACGGCAAGGCAGTTGATTTTCCTGGTTTTAAAATGAAACGAAAGATTAGAGCTGTTACACCAAATACGGTTGACGAAAGTGACTACTCCACCACCTCTTTTATTGAAGTTCACAATTCGATCATCTCGAAAGACATCAAATCCATCAAGCAGTGCCATGCCGTCCTCAATGCCAGGATGTAACCAGCTTTCCTGGAACATAATAATTGCAACGTTTTTGCACACTTTTTCATGTAACATACTCCTGACTTCATCAACTTTTCCCTGGAGTGAACGGATGTTACTGGAGATAATAACACGTACAGTCAGGTTGTTAATGGAACGCCGCCTGAGAGCGACCCTCCAACCAGCGCGATGTTTTATTTGTTGTCCTCATCCCTTCTTCCTCAAACGGTTGTAGCGGTTTCGCACACAATGCGCAAAACGTGACAATTGGAGTTAACATGCGATAAAACGATGGGAGGTCAAAAATGTGCGGCCTTAGGACAGCATTGGTTCAATATGATAGTAGGAGGTGGTGTTCTTTCTCATATCGAAACAGAGGCCATATGTCCCAATCCGACTACCAGCGCCAAACGTCCTCAGTTGTTAGCATTCATTTTCTTGCAGCTTTCGACTAGTTAAAAATTTCGACACTGATTGAATCAAACACAGTAAATCCATGCGAAAATGCGAAGGCTCAACCCGTTTACCACTAGGTCCTTAGATGAATTCAACGAAACTTGTACCGTACGCACGTTCACTGCATGGGCCGTAAACTACAGTACTGGCCGATTGTGATGCACTAAAATATTTTCTTTACGATCATATGGAGTTTTATGATATCTATCACCCATATTATTGCTTTAGGTATGGGCAATGGTTTATATCATATATACTTCGATCCAGATAGTTTCTAGGCTGCATGAGTGTCAATTAAACGTACCTGACTTTGAGTGCCAAGATTAAATGATCTGAACATGAAAACCGCAAACTGTATCAAGTATGACAACGCACTATTTTCTAATAGGAATGACTTAAAAACTATCTCAAATTATTTTCATAAACCCTTGCCATCTCGGTTATTTGTTATGAGGCATTATTTTATCTAATATATGATCCATTATAGCAACTCTATTGGATAACCAAATGAAATTCTTTCACAACCCAGAGAAATTGCATTGAATAAGGTTTCATAATAATAATCTATATTTGATATCTAACTCAATCAATTCGAGAAATACCACCTCAATCAAAGTGAACCTTGAAATCAAGGTCATTTTTGTGCACAGCTTCGAATGTTCGTATTGTTGTGACCATAATGAAGCAAACAGCGCTTGAAACCAAAAGTTCCCGTTATCTCAATGAAAAGGACAGAAACGGAATTGCACGAGCACACAAGCTGGGATTCTGTTTCAATTATTGTTTGCTTTTAGACTTCAGAAAAGATGTGTGGCTTTAAGGTCCGGTCAATGCAACTTGCTCCTAATCGCCCGGATCTCAATGTGATTGAAAATCCGTTTTCTGTTTAGATGAAAGACGTCAATGTGCTACCTGTACATTCTACATTGGAGGCAAAAGTGCGAGCTCAAAATAGAAAATGACTTCAAAGCAAAATTCAGGGATTCGATACCGAAGAGACTCGAAAAAGTCCCAAAGATTAAAGACGGACAAATTGACTGTTAGTGCACACAAACTTTACATCTTACTTAGTATCTGTGTTAATTTATTGTTAATAAAAACTGTTCCATTCTCTCTAGTTACTTCCTAACTCTTCATGGTGTAGGTCAACCGCTGCTGACCAAATGGGAGAATCCGCAACATTCTGAACCATTCCATCTGTTGAGTATAAACGAATCAGAAAAATCACGTCCATAAAGACTCACCAATGCTTGTTTACTATTATTTAGAAAAAAATTACTTCAGTATAAATGCTATTGCCTATACGAATAGAGAAGTGTTTCACAGGGACTCGTTGCTTCAGTTTCGATTATAGACCTGTATTTGGAATAACCAAGGTAGGTGTGCGCCTGAGTACAGGAGGGCTTATAGAATCTGGGTCTATATTTTAAAATGTGAAAAATTTTGTTACAGTGCTCGTGTATGGTCCATGTTCTATCATATTACCTATCTTTTGAATTATCTACGGAAATCTATATTCAGCACATGAAGAGTAATGCTCGATGTGATGAGAAAATCGACGCTGCTCAATGGAGTTAGATCATGCGTGGAGAAAAGTTCCAAAATTCACCATAGTCGTGAAGAGCTTTTGGAACTCCTCTCGTTCGAATCACTGGGAATGTTTAGCATGTGTGCGAAGGGATCAGAAGTATTTAGGCACATAAATCATAGATCCGAGCGAACGTCACTCTGTTCTGACCCTGTTTCATTGAATCAACCCTCATTTCCTCTTTCAGGAGTTAAAATGCATCACTTTGTTTGCTCACTGCAATCAAATGCATGTCTCGGTAGCTCCGCCTTTAAGGTGCTCGAAGACGCCTTTATTATGCGTCTGAACTCTCCTGACCCATGAGAAGTCTCCTTTGATCTGGATCATCAGGTGGTAATGCATTAGGTTCACTATGAAAACACGCAAGCACGTGACTAAGAATGAGCTTTCAACTCCAAAAAATACAAAACAGATACTTTTCCGAGAAACCGTCTAACCTGCATATTTAATTGCAACTCACATAAACGCTATGGGTCTGCATCACAAGCCAAATGTGGTTTCACCGATACAGAGTCCACCTGGCAACTTATTTAGCTAACAACCGTTGCGTTAGCCCTACCAAGTAAGTCCAAGAACCCGTCGCACGACGGCATTCGACTTTTCGTTTTGGGTAGGAACCGCGAAAATGCGGACCATTATTGTTGCATATCATAAAACTCCTCTACACAGTCAAACATAAAACGATCTGCTTGTGTTTTCTAGCTTGAAGTTTCAGTATTGGCACTGTGCAGTACTTTGATGCTTACCTTCAGTTTACACCGTGTTTGATATGTGAAGAAAAGTTTTAAGACCACCCATGCGTTATTTCTGTTTGATGCTAAAGAATTGTTCGTATCATTCGCCTAAATGACTGATTAAATAAAATGAATCGATTAGGAATCAGATATCAATGTTTGTTCTTGTATTTTGTTGTGTAAATTATTTTGTAGCAAATGCGATAGGGTGCGAAAAAAAATAGGTTGTCTGTAATTCTTCACACCGTCGAACATATCAAATATATCTGCCGAAAAGCTTGATGTAAGTTTATGTGCTATTGAGATGCAATTCATTAAAGACTGATTGTGTATATTCAGAAGACTACTTGTGAAGTGGGAATTTCCAACTAAAAATTTGAACAGAGGCGAACCACACACGTGATCACAGACTTCCATGAACTCTTGTAAAAGAAGTTTTACTATGGGCTTGATCGACTGCATGAGTGAATAGCAGGCCGTTACAGCCGAGATGATAGCAACCCCCCCCCCCAACACACACCCACGTTTTCTACACAAACGGTCAAGATACAATTCATTCGCCCAAATAACTAGCATTGGGAAATAATCTTTCCTGAATTTTATCTATGTATAATCTTTATTTAATTCTGTAATCCACACACAGCAATATATTTATACTTTGTCGCGAATGGTCTTTAGTTTGAAAATGAGGGCGCATTTGCATCACTCACTCGATGGGAGTATTATATATATATAAGGTTTAAATTAAACCCCCGATGACGCATACATTTCGAATTAATTTCAGAATGCAAGAGCAGCGGAAAATCCAATAGGGCTGCCAGAATGATGATATTTGTTGCACATAATGGATAAAAAGCTGAATGGTATTTTCTAGATTTTCACTTTACGTTTTATTTGCTCTTTGCACAGCGAAAATTCACCAGATGAACAGCTTTGACTGCAATGCGATCAAGTTTAGTCAATCATAATCACACTACTTTTATTAAGATCAGCGCATTTTCCTGCGAGATAAAAACACTTGTTTATCAAAAAAAAACTTGTTTACCTTCACCGTTGCTTCATTCGGTTCAAGATTTGTTCACATTTTTTATTCCAGTTTCAATTTTTATGAGATCAGATAATGAGATGCACCGATCAACTGCTGCATTTTCTGAACCGCTCACTGACCGGTGTTTAAATAGGTCAATCAAATTCGCATTCTGCTGGTTCAACGTTTTACGCAATGACAGCCAAATTCTTCACGCTGTACTTAGCGGGAAAGGAATTCTATCCGAGCCTATTTTATGTTACATGAGCATTTTGAAATAACCTCGAGTCCTTTTCGGTGGTCTAAAAATGGCTGATAGGATTGCCATGCATGCTTGTGGTTAGATTGATTGGTTGATTGATTGATTGATTGATTGATTGATTGATTGATTGATTGATTGATTGATTGATTGATGCTGCCTGCTACCACACTCGAATTTACTAAAACCATGCGGTCTAACACTATTCTAATATCGATCTTTTTTAACCAATCAGGTGTTAGCATTGGGGTGTCCGTGCTGATTCGTGGACTGTTTGCATGCTTGATAGGCCTCATTCAGATGATAGGTGAAGCTTGAGTCAGCTATTGGCTTGCCTGCCCTCTTGCGTGATGAGGCACTGCTCGCTCAACGGCCTACGGGCCACCTACGTTTACGCTTACATACTCGAAATAGAATGGCTACTAGGTTTATGGACTACATTTGTATTTACTCCCAGGGGAGACAACAAGTCCTTATGGTTTAATCAAGAAGCTTCACACGGGAACAGACAGAATTGACAGTCACTAGCAAATTTACTAGCGTAAGGAATGGAACGGGCAGTCAATATTAGAGCGATTCCGACCAGTGAATTTTATTTTTTGAACATGTTTGGATCAGACACCTGATGAAACGAAGCTGAATTTCAAAGTTTATGCAAGCATATTTACAGGTTTCCTTTTTCTATTTTTGCCGCATTTTCAAGAGAATCCCGATGAGAATCAACGAAACAAATCGTTGTTTGACTGTATTTCACAGCTTCCAACAGCCAATCGGGACACGTTCACTTTCTTAGCTACACATCTGATCACGTGAGTAAAATTGATCTCCTGCCATACCACACCCGTAAGAAACAGTATTTTACAATACGTTGTTCTCACATTTTAACAAGCCCTAATCAACCGTACACGTATTAACGTATATCTTGATGATACTATGTCGCCTCCCACCTCCGCTTTTCACAATATGTTGTACTTCCTGAGGCTTTCTCACTTCGTCGCTGATCCGTGCATTTGTTGACCAATAAAGGTCCAATGCGCCTTTCAGCCAATCACGTTTCAACAAGCATGACACACACGTGACACTGTGCAGGATGGTGGAGTTCAAATGGTTTAGATCACCAGCTTATCGTCCCGCAGCAGGTGTGTTTAAATCCCATCATCATAACCTGACTTGTCCTTCCATGCTCTGGGTTTTAAATGACAGCCGTTTGATTGGCCGCTTCCTGTTTCTGAAAATGTTCTGATTAGGTATTCGGCAGAAGGGAAGGAAAACAAGAAAGCTAACAAAAATGAAGATTGGGTAGCCCTTATGGGGGAGACAACAGACAGTTGTCAGCAATTCAACGCGGTTTCCCTTGACGTAACAGTATGTAAACGCCGGGCAATCAGAGAGACGCAGAATATGGTTGAATTGCTGAAGCCGTCAGGTGCAACTGGGAGCACAACAGCAAGATCACTGGGTATTTCAACCACTACTATTTACAATCTTATATATGCAATTGAACGATTGTCGAAAAATTTGTCAACATTGGCGCATGTCAGAAGGAATACCACTTGAACACTAACGGCAGTTTACTGCTATGGAGGAAAAGCATGGTGAGTAANGAGTAACTTGTGAAGGAAAGAATCGTTTGCATGAAGACAATTGACCTAGCATACTTATGCATCACGAGGATGCGAACTCCACTAAATTTTTGTTTCGCTCATCGACAGACAAATGTCCCATTCAATGCAACAAAGTTAGTGAAAAGTTTATCTATACAACTAGTGGGCGAGGTAACCCCAGGTGATCCATGATTATGCGAACTTTTACGATACTTTCAACGCTGATGAAACTATAATTTATTACAAACAGCTGTTAGAAAGAACTTTAGGGCTTAAAGGAGCCAAGAAATCCACAGAAAGAGTCACAATTTTTTATTACACACCAATTTTAGCGAGAAGACGAGCTGTCTGGGAAATACTTATTGATCCAATTAAAAAAACCGGTGTACGCGTTCAATTATATACATTCCATTCTTAATCGCACTTGGCACGTAAGTTGTTCCTTCTTCCGCGTGTCGTTCCGGCTGGTTTGACCCGATCGTAGCGAGAGACACGTCGACAGTTCCGACGTAGTGGCAGACGAGGTGNCCCCGCTCGGTTAAGCATGGTATTTAACTAGACAGCAGAAAAACTGTTTACCACCAAATTTGGGTGGCGGTGGCGGGGCTCGAACCTCGGACCATAGGGTCCACAGCTCAGCGGTGACAACGACTAACTCACTCCACCACCCCACCCAGGGTGTCTATGCTTGTCTATACAGGTATGTCCACCGACCCCTGTACAAAGTTCATGGGCGATTATCGAGGCAGGTCCGCTGTCGGATGCTGGCTACGGCAGAAACAGTGGGCATTCGTCCGCACAACCCCCCTCTGTGTGCCCAAAAATAATTTGTGCAAGCGTGAAAGCTTCCCTGGCCCACGCCACACACACCGTATCACGATTAATTTCGATGATCGGATGAGTGAAAAAACAATCATGTGATCGCAGGGAACCCGATTTCCGGTTTCACGATGAAATTGTTTCTGGTAATCTGTGATTTTATTTCATCTTATTTTCCCAAGACGATTTTATTCCCAAGTAATTACAGGATTAAATTTAATGAATAGCACATCAATGTAATAAGCCGTTACATTTTTATTTAACAATGAATAAAGAGTTAGCATATAAAAAGAATTACCTAAAGAATTTTGTCATTCATGGGGAATACGAAGTGTGGGATGAAATATGACAAAATTGTTTACAGGGCTGTTTTATCAGCGGTGCCAATTGATCGCCCCAATTGAAGATCCAACCTCACCTCGTTGCAGTCACAACACGAGCATATAATAAGCACTGATCGTATATTTGCGTTCCAGCTGTAACATTTGCGGTTTGATCCTCAGTTGGGGCGATCGACCGGTACTATCAATTTTGATCCGAGCAAGTAGAGGCAGCGGTGGACTGATTCGTAACCTTTCATTGCACGCTTCTTTTACTGTATAAATGGTTACAACCACTATATAATCTAATCAAACCTTGTGCTTCGGTAGTAAGGAAAGTAACAATAATAATAATAATGATAATTGTCTCTGTAGTTGAGCAATATTTTCATCCGGTTTGAGAGCACTCCGTTGCTTGCCACATAATTTGCACGAGTCATCCATATGTCAAGTGTGTTCTGCGGCGTGAGTGTGTGTGTGTGATCAGTTGTGCTATACCGATGAATGATCGCATCTCACACGGTAAGGGTGAACCGATCACCCGGGTCAGGCATCGTTGTTGGTTTTGTGTATCTGACATTTGTTGAGACAAACCAAAGGCACGTGATTCATGACAGTTTTGTCCGAAACAATAAACCGACCGTATGTTGATCTTACAGCCGGTTATCCTATTTCAGTGTGTATGAAACGTGTACAGCAACAATTACAACCTGTGGTAAATCTGCGTTTCACAAAAATGTAATCAGTACCCCAGAAAACAGTCTGTCATACTGAAGATACAGTTGTTTAGGTTAGATACAACGCAAACTGTCTAGGCCGGTGTGATAAACACGAACGAGACCAAGACAAGTGAGACGGCCCTTGTGGAAGATAAGAACAAGTAGTCAATCAAACGTCGGAGCTACGACGTGGGGGTCTGTAATGGATTCTAGTGCAAAGTTTCGGATGGAAAGCTCAGTTGTCAGTTCTCAAACTAAACCAGTATATGAGACAGTATATAAGAATAAAAATGTATCTGCAGGATGGATTTCACAGGATCATATCGCAAAAGGAATGCAGAGAAATAAACGTATTAGCCTAGGAAGACTGATTAGGATAATAATGTAATTTCTGTGAATAATGCGTGNGCGTGGGAGACAGACCCCGACAGATGTGCTGCCGATCCACTACGAGGAGGAGGCTACATTACCAGCGAATATTCCTCTATTGAAAGCTTTATTCCCTGAAACACAATACTAGAGTCAATGGCCATGAAGAAAGAGGAGTCCGAGGTAATTGGGGAAATGATTCGAAACTTTAAAAATGAACATGGTATTTTAGAACATTAGACACTGCGTTTGGTCACACGTACAACTCTTTTTTTGAACTGGGAAAGGTTCAGTGGCTTCGATGTGGTTCAAACCTACGCATGAACACCGCCTATGCTTTTGTACAGTGTATGCTCTCTCTACTAGCTGTGCTTCGAGTCCACACAGATAGCACACTGATCTGGTCACATTTGGGGTACTCATTCAACTTGCAGAAACATAGGTGATCCACCAGCTAGCATGTTAGCGGACTACCACTACAGCTTTTCCTTCCAATCAACCAGAATCCGCTTAATAAACCTCTAAGGGAAAATTGTACCATTCCCCATACAAGACCAAAATTTGCCAAAAGATATGTAAATTTTACCCCCAAATGAACTATGAAACCAAAATTGAATCTAAGGCGGTGGCGGCACTGGATGCAATAGTCTACCGAGTGCATGTCTGCAGCTTCACAAATGCACCCGTCTCGTACTCAGCCGATCCGTTGTGACATCATTTAACCATTTAACAATGAGTAAAAGCAACGGTACACATTTATCGTTCCAACTGAGAATCTACTTGCAAGTTTGGCTGACGAAATACAAGCACACTTTTCACCTGAACAAAAAAGGGATTTCAGGTAATCGAAACATGATATAGAGCAACAGTTGGCAGCTGAGTACAACCAACAAATGTAGCACATCTAGTCTCCAACGGTGATAATTATGTCTTCGGGTCGTTTTGGGAATCGAAAGGAATTTAATGATCAAGTTAACTCTTCATGCCTTCACTCCATTAATACGTTCATTGACTGACACACAGTTCTCTTCCATCCTACCGAAGAACCCCTCAATGTGAAAGGCAAAATCGATCATATTTGTACTGCTGATGAGTGTTTCCTCAATGTAACTAAAGTACTAGTCCCGGTGTTCTCCAAGTCAGGCTTACCCGCTCAAACTCATGTTAGATGCGCAATTACACGAACGAACAAAGGTGTCACCTAGAGATTAATCGTATTCACCAATCTCCTCAAACTTTTTCTCTTACCGATTCAACAGTGTTGCACGTTATAAGGAGACAAATATGATGGATTTGGGCAATCTCGCATTGATTTGGTCCACAGCTATTTTCCAGACCTCTTCAGAGACATTGAGAATTCATACAGGAGTAAAGATCACACCTGGCACGGGGACTTATATGGATTCGCTGAACCGAGAAGCCGCGGTTGGATTTCATCAGACGAAAACCTTGTCCATAATTCTCACAGCTGCTCAGACTGGAAAACTCAAATGGCCACAAAGTATCCCAGATTCAGTAATCAACTAATCCCACTATGCCCGGAGAAAACATCGTGTATGTGCATGTTCATACTTGTCTATGTTCGCTTGTTAGTATATATATATATATACATATTCATATAGGACTATGCCATGCGTTTCCAACTTCTCATCTTGTTCCCACTTCAACCTCGCCCCGCCCTGCCCCGCCCCGGTCACATTGTTCTTCCTTCTCTGTGACTGTAACAGGGGATGGAAGAAGACTGGGTGGACGGGAGGACCCAGAACGAGGCACGAGACAATGTGATTCATTGAAATGCGTAGAACAGGTCGAATTATTTGTCGAACGATGACACACTTACACATAACTAATTCATATTGTACTCTCTGTTTGTAATATCCTGTTCGCCAGCCCCCCGCCCCTCTCATAACCGCATAATTTTCATTATCATCATCACATCAACAACAGATCATCAGGTTTATTGTGCAACATACAATCGACTATTTGCACACAAGTGTTATCTTATCTCATGAAGTGAAGTTCATTCCTGGGGACTAATCCGGGTCAGTTGGTCAGTCAGTGGTCAGAACTGAGCCAGCAGCCAGTGCCTTGTCCTTCCGTCGAGAGCGAGCGATAGTCGAACAGAACCGCCGTACCGGTCTAGCCATGAGAAATGGCTTCAAACGAGCTGCGAATGGGACGAACATGTTGAGGTCAACTGAGTGACCGTTTGGCAGATGTATCAATCAGCCTCGTGGTTTTCGGTTTAGACGTGGCCACGGAAAGTGAACGCATTGGGAACCAATGGTACGATCATTCAACGCTGTGGGAGTGTTTATGTATCAATCTGGCGTTGCAAATGTGTAATGACGAGAAGTTCGTTACACGGGTTATTGTATTGTATAGTAAGTCATCTAGAACAATGATAAAACCGTTGAATTGCAAGACATGTTTATGCCGGAAGGTTTGTAGAGATAATTAGATCAGGTTGTAGAGTGGGAACGGCAAGCAGATCGGTCAGAATCAAGCGGAATACTGGGGTTGTTATGCATCTTATAGGGGAAATGCTCACGTGAAGTAATATAAAAATCACACAATTTTGTGCTTAGGGTGTTGACGGGGAAATGAGAGCAACACGACTGGTAATTACTAAACTGCGAAGAAGAATAATGAAATCCTTTATAAGTAGCCCAGGAAAAATAACGGACGAATCATCAAGCAAGACAGGAAAAATGCATTGATAAACAAAATAACATATGGTTGCGTGCTCCACTCTAAATTATCGTAGCTTGCATATATGGAAAGGTAAGCGACGCACTCTATCAACGTCGAATACCACATGTGTGGATCATTGTAAATTGCTCCTTATGGTGACTCGTAGATCTTTGGTGGTACGTATTCTGGTGATGGCTATAAGAATGAGGTCTGAGGGTTCCAGGGGATACGCAGATCGGGTAGAACTAAAAACGCATTCGTAGTATTTCGAAGCAATCAACCGGAGACTGAACTGTCAGGAAAGAATTCCACGTCTGATCGGTTTGAGATGGTTTGACATAGGACAAGGTCAGCAGCATATATAAAGGTCTTGGCTGGTAGGATTGAGGGTAGGTCACTGATGTGTGTTGAAAATAAGTATGGAGAAAACACAACACCCCAAAGGACTCTGGATTTCTTCACTAATGATTTTGAAATATTGCGTTTGCTTTCGTTCTTTGAATTCTTCCTATGAAGAAAGTAGTCTTCCAGCCATGACAACAAAGTGCTGGAGCAAACGAATGATTATAACTTTCGCAGAAGAAGAACTCGAAGAATGGAATCCAAGGAAAACCCAACAAACGGATTTTTGGGAATCATCTGAAGATTTGCAAATAAATTGCATCAGTGAAGAGACAGCATCCAAAGTGCATCTATTTGGATTATACGCAAACTGAAGGGGGTTGTTGGGAACATCAGCACTGGAGTGCAAGCGAGTGACAATTCGCACACTACTAGTTTAAGTCCAATGGAAGTGATGGCGGTGGGACCAAAGCATTTAGATGAAGTACTATAGATTAAGACGATTTGGGAATGGGAACAATGGTGAACGGTCTCGAGGAATCGGGGGCGTGAATAGGTGCAGCTGGATTCGTTATTAAGGGAAGCTTTTGTTACCATTTTCTCTCCATGTGACAAAACGATTGGGTATACGTATATCATGTATATATATGGGGAAAGCATAATATTGAAAGTACTTACAAAAACGCCGTATGCATACCCTGATCATTAGTCTTATTATCATCAGTAGCTGTTGTACTAAGGTATCACATTGGGAATCATTGCGCAGCAACGAGGTCGAATTACAATATACCGACCCTCAAACAAGAAGAGATCAAACGAATAGCATTGGTTATGTTAGGAACAAATTTGCTCGGAGAGCTTGCAATAAGTTCTAATCCGTCGATTAAAACTGTTCGTTCCGAGATGTAAAAGGTGTGCCTTATTTAAGAAAATACTTGTTTTTGAGAAAAAAGTGTAACTCAATTCATGGGGATCCCGCAAAGCTAAATCGGTTGATATCACTTAGGAGGAATCAGCGGAGGTTTCGTCAATCAGAGGTTCAGAGGAAGAGGTGAACAAACACAGCTCTCATGGTTCTCTATGGGAGATTGGTTAAAGTGTTACGAATAACTGGAGAAACACGAGGTGTTTGGAGAGTGAACTATATACAGCTGGATGAATTGGGGCCTGAAACCGAGATGATCACCAGTGAGACTTATCCGAGACTTTATTGGGGTCCGACAGAATAACATCGAGTTCAGCAGAAACCATGTTCCATCACCCGTCCTTTTTCTGTTGCATATCCGAGCTACATTTGGCTGGAACATCTTCAGACGAAGCAGAGGTTTTGGGCAGGTTCTTTCTGCTGTCCGATTCTAACTTCTACGTGCATAGGTAAACCAGCTGTGCAAATGCTAGTTAACTAATGCAAAGAACATTGTGATGGCCAGCCGATGGTAATGCAAAACGGCAGTGAATCCAATTCGTGAATGTGACCAAATCCAGTTTGATCAGGCATATTTCACAAATTCATATCCAAAAGCTTGATTCTAGAGTCTCATCAGATAAAATCTACTCATTCGAAAAGAAGCAGAACGGGTATTTTATCTCCTCATCATAGAAGTTCTTCACAATTAAGGAGTACCACAGAGGACGATGTTAAAGCAATCACAGCTTTTTTCACATCATCCGAAGCCAAACGCGAAAGTGTCTCAATAATTTTCAATAGTGCAACTCTGTGTAGTGATTATTGAAATGGATGAATCCAATCATTTCGTTGAATCCGCAAGGCGGATACGGTATAAGTGACTGAAGCAAATTAGTTGAAGCCTATGCGAGCCATCAACAAGATGGATCGATTGCAAACTGTTTGGATTTTGAGCAATAAGGTCTGAACCAGATCGGAGACAAAGATTGGGCTTTGTCATGTGGGAGGGTATATCTTGCTTTCCTTGTGGTGCTGAAGCCCCTTTAGCTCGACGTGCCAGAAACCAATTGCGGGGCGGGGAGGGGCGGGAGATCAAATCACTGTGCTGAACATGTGATCTGAGCCCACGTGATGTCGAACAATCGAACAGCTGACGAATCTGATCGATACACTCAGTATTCAACCTTTGTTTCGCTGTTTCCTAACTGCAATATTATATCTACAATGTCACTGGAAACGTGCTGACACTTACAGCTCGTCCCTTCGTAACTCACATTCGTTTGACAGTTTCCAATCCCTTTTTAAGTATTTCTCATCCTTGTCACATGTTTTCTCGGTTTCATTGCACGTGATCTTGGTTGTGTTGTGCAGTTCTCATCAAAAGTACATTCGATGCCGAATAAAATGAGTCCCACGTATCTGTGAACTATAGACGTGTTCCTCACTTCACTGCTGCTCACAGATTTATAACAAAATGACAGAACTGCTTGTTGCGATTCACCTGTTCGGTTTCATAAGCAGTTTGTGATGACTGAAGTACTATCTGCCTTTTGGGGTTCACAGTAGAACGCGATTATTGGATTCAATTGAAGTAACTGTAGATCGGCTGTCAGCTACTAGAGATTACTTGGAAGTTACAATGCTTTCACAGGACGTTTTAAAGGCATTGTATGGTCACGAAGACATATGCTTCATGTGCAACATCGTTAAATAAAAACCTTCAGCAACACAGGGATGTGCGAAATCGGTATGCATTTTGTAATTTTTCGGGGTGATAAGGATATTTGTGATACGAACGGACTAAGGTCAGGTCAGGTCCTGTTGCTCAGGACGGTAAAAACTAATTCGTCAAGTGAGCGTCTAGATTCTTGCTCCAGCCGAAACCAGAACTATTCAGGAGCTTCGACTCCTTGTCGTCTGTTTGTACATAGACAATTTCTTCTTCCGCCACAGCTTCATTCTTCTAGTCCGTACCTGTAAGGGGAGGTTATGGAACAAAAGAAAGCATGAAAAACCTACTGTTAACAGTAGGCACCCTAAAAGGCTTCTGGATAGAGCCAGATCAAGACTCCATCCAGTTACGGTTTAAGCTGTTCCGCAATCCCGCAATAAAGATTGTAGTTGATTCAGCTCACTTAACATCCTAATGGTGCAGAATCCGGACATTAGGTTGACTCGGTGCCTGGGTTTCATTAGCTCGAAATGAGTATTGAGTCTTGTTTGGGTAAACAGGCTGTCCACCTCTAGCTCTGTCAGACCCTTCATTATTTCGAAGATTTCGATAAGGTCACCTCTCAGGCGTTTCCTTTCCATGGAGAATAGCCCTAGGGTTTCTAGTCTTCCCTTAAATGAATTACCTCTCATTGCAGCTCTCATGTTCGTGGCTAACCTTTGCATCTTCTCAATGCGAGAGATATCCTTCCTCAATTAAGACGCCCACTCAAGCATGCATCATTTTGTCCGCGGTCTAACTATGGCCGTACACAGAACGACGAAGAACTCTGCCTTTCTCGTCGACAGAGCTTCATTTGGTTAGAATAGTTGCCTTCTCGCTATTGGTGAGGTGGCGCGGAACTGGACCTGGCGAATACCCAGGTTAACCATTTGGTCCACTCGAGTGAATCCCGTCGAGTCCGTCGTCGTGGACACTCTAACTGGAAGCCCCAAGGGTTTTAGAACGTGTCACGTGGTAGCGTTGATCTCCAAGTCCCATTGTTGTGTCAAGTGGTCAACCTTTGCCAGATCAGTTTCTAGTTGACCTAATGGTCCTGAGCTCACTAATTTAATGCCATTTGCAAAAATAAAGGCAGGGACAGCGAGCTCTTGAACAGCAGAAAGCGTATCGGGCCTAGCACTGAGCCATGGATACGATGCCAACGTTGAACAGA